AAGAACTTGGACTTCGCTACCTTGACTGCGTGGGCGACGTTGTTGTGATTTCAGAGGCCTCGGAGTGGTCCTACGTTAGACGAGATTGGTACCAACGCAAAAATTTACCCTGGATGCAGCTTTATATGGTCATGCAGTAGAAGCGCGTATACCCATCTATGTCCGTGGGCGCGTTGAAGTATATTTATATCTAGTGAGGACAGTGATCCCCGCACTGAATTGCTTGTGAACTCTTTTGGACTGGTATTTGCCCCAGATTTACTTACCTTTCTATCCAAAGAGATGGATGTAAATAATAGGAAAAACAAACAAAAACAAGGCCATTACTACGATGCATTTTTCAATTGTTTTGCCTTTGTATATTGGCTTACACGCAAATATGGAGATGTGTGGTAGTCCCAGCATACTGCACGTCTCTCCCTTCTTTTTATTATAAGTTGCGTGGTTCCCTTCCTTGTTGTTGCAAGAAAGCCATATATATATAAACGAGCGGATATCAGCTGTAAGAGGGAAAAGTGTTTAAGCTACTGGATTTTATGAAGTTGTCGTGCACCGCAAAAATGTCACTGGGGAACTACGCTCAGCGGCACCACCGCAAGCACGGCATCCTCTTCACAGCTGGGCCCCTGTCCACGTCGCAAACGGTGCGGGAGGCTCAGCTTGACGACTACGGCAGTCGTGACAAGGATTTTCTCACCGCGGTAGCGGAGGTGCGGCGTGGCGTATTGAAAATTGCGAAAGCTCCCGAGACAGCATGGACCTGTGTGCCGATGCAGGGCAGTGGCACGATGGGGGTGGAGGCGGCGATTAATACCATCATTCCTTCAAATCAACCAGGCGCTTTTGTGGTTCTTTGCAATGGGTCCTACTCTTACCGTATGGCCTCCATTGTGAAGAAGCGTGGCGCAGCCGAACTGGTCACGTTCGACACGGAAGAAGGTGTGGACATGGATCTTGAGGCGTTTACACGACGACTCTCTGGCATCGCGTCTCCCATCACGGCTGTTGGCATTGTCCACTGTGAGACGAGTACCGGGATGTTCAATCCCATTGCGGAGGTGAGCACCATCGTGCGCCGTCATCATCCGGAGGCGACCATTCTAATCGATGCGATGAGTTCCTTTGGCGCGGTGGACTTTGCTGTGCCGGATGTGTGCGACATCCTGGTGACCTCGGCGAACAAGTGTATTCAGGGCGTTCCAGGTTTTTCGCTAGTGGTGGCGCGTCGTGCCTTGCTGGAGCGCTGCCGCGGGTGGTCGACAAGCTTCACGCTTGACGTCTCGGCGCAGTGGGAGGGGCTGGAGCAGAGCGGGGGCCAATTCAACCAGACACCCCCTGTGCAGGCCATCGTTGCGTTCCGTCAGGCCTTACTGGAGCACGAGCAGGAGGGCGGGGTCACGGCACGGGCAAAGCGCTACATGGAGATGAATCGCTACATTGTGGACCGCATGACGAGGGAGTACGGCTTTGAGCTTTTCCTCGACCCCGCAAAACCGTCGTACGGCTACGTCATCACCGCCTTTCGTACCCCGCAGGTGCCCAACTGGAGCTTCAGCGAGTTTTATGACAGACTTAAGGATGAGGGCTTTGTGATTTACCCTGGAAAGGCCTCTTTTGCCGACACCTTCCGTATCGGCACACTTGGGGATATTCACATGCCGGATTGCGTGGCGCTCATGGACACCGTGGGGTCTGTTTTAACGCGCATGGGGGTGTCGCTCAAAGGCACGGCTTCGTGATGTGTCCTCCGCGCACAGGTGGAGTAAGGAGGAATGAGAAAAATAACGACAAAAGTAATAAATGATGCCTAGAGAAGAGAAGCAACACACATAGGAAGAGTAACGTTTTCCTGTTATCCTTTGTCATTTTTATTATTGTTGTTACCCTCCTCTTATTTCCTTTTCCCCTTTAGGAAAATGAAAGAGCACTCTTTCAGGCCACATGCTATGGCATTGCTGTAGCCCTGTGCATGTTGTTGTTTTCTCTTTTTTTTTGTTATTTTCATGCCTCTATGGCGATGCACGCCGTCCGTCTTTTGTTTTTTCATTTTCCTTTTTACCCTCACATGCATCACACCGCATTACACTCAACTGCTGTGTTGTGCAGTGGAGCTTGTTGTTGTAGTTGTTGCAAAAGCACGCAGCTATGGCGAAGCTCTTTGCTCCCTTCCAGACGGAGGCGTCCGATGCCCTACGAGTCCCCCCCACCGCCTCTCTGGCTGTGAGTAACGTGAAGAAGTACAGTAGTTACATTCCGGATTCGAGAATACGGGTGAGAGAGATTGTGGTTCGACTGCAGCGCCGTTTGCGTTTTTCCCTTCGGGCCCACAAACGCCTCCTGCTTGGAATGTGCGGTACCGTCGTTGTGGTGTACGCGCTTCAAAAGGCTGGGCGCGTCTGCGGAGCACGGCATTTCCCGCAGTCTGCGCAGCGCACTGAGAGTAAGCCTGCCTTCGGTCAGGGGAATTGGCGCGTGTGGGACTTCCTGTCTGCTTGGGTGCAGGGGGCACTGAACTCCCCGTTAGGCACATCGACCTTTCACCAGGTGGGGGAGGACGATGATGACGTCAACTTTGTGGACGCCTCGGAAAGCGCCTTCCGCATGTTTCAACGTCGAGTAGAGCGCACGCATGAGGCGCCACTGCTGCGCGCGTTGAGTGAACTCGAGAGTCTTGGTGAGCGCTGGAAAAGCCATGCCTTACAGCTTTCGGCCGCAGGGAAGGAAAAACACGAGGGGGAGGGCACGGTTGGTGCTGCTTCCAGTGGTCTTCTGCAGGAGACCTCGAAGGAGGCACTGCGGGAGCTTGTTCTGGAAAAGGCAATTGAGGCGGATGAATTACTCACACAGTACGTTGTGCAGCTGGACATGGCGCCGGTGGGAGACAGTATCGATCTCAGGAAGGAGCGTAAGGAGTCCATCGTTGCTGCCTCAGCATTGGCGAAGCGCATCGAGGTGTGGACGCATCTGCCGCCGCACCAGCAGCAATAGAGTGTCCTGGCATTTCCAAACTCAAGCCCACACACACACATACATACATACGTGTACACAACAGGATGTGGAAGGGAAGAAGGTAAGAAGGGTGGAAGGTGGAGGGTGAAGAGCAGATATGGATGGAAAATAAAGAGAAGTGGGCTAGGGCAAAGGACGAGGCGTGAGTACACCTCCCCGCGGGGATGACCCTTTGCTTCTCTGATATTACTATCGCTGGGACCCGTAAAGCTGCACACGTGTGTGTGCGTCCTCCATGCATTATCCCTGTGGATGTTGATCTTTTGTTGATGTTCGCATCTCACTCTGCTGGATGCGGTCTCCTTTGTTTGCCTAGTTTTTTTTTTTTTTTAACTTTCTCTCTCTGCCGGCTACTGAAGTGGGCTTATGGGGGCGACATGCGCCAAAAACGGTGTCAGCGGCGGCATCTCCAAGGGCAGCTATGGGCGAAAGCATTCTGGCAGTGGCAGTCACGTGGCCTGGCGACATGAACCTCGCATCCACGTGGAGAGCTCCTGTAATGCGGATGTGTTGCCTAGGTTGGAAGCTCGCCCAGATTTGAGCGAGTACTCTTCGATGGAGGTGGACGATGTGCTGTCTATTCCTTCCGTGGCACGTAACGGTTCACCGGTGGCACAAACACCGGAACAGTCGATGCCCACGCTTTCCGGGGCGTTCCGCCCGCAGTCACAATCGACGATGACAGGACTGGAGGTGGCAGCGAAGGCAGCGGCGTATGAAGCAGGTGCAGCTGCCGTGCTCGATGAGGAGGGGCGGTTAGAGGAACCACCTTGCGACTTTGCCTCCACGTACGAGGTGCAGCCTTCCGAGACGAACTCAGCAGCGGCGTGCGTGAATGGTACGTTGGACGGGCCCCCACTCCCTTTTTCTCCAGTCTATGAGACTGAGGTGTCAAGTTCAGCGTCATTAGCGACAAACACTGTAGCGGACGAGTGCGGAGAGGGTCCCGTGGCGCCCCCCTCTGCAGCTGGGAAGTTTCAGTTGGGGGATTCTGACTATTCCACCTCCACATCCAATTGTTTCACCTGCGTCTCTTTCGATGAGGGGAGGCTGCTTTGGGCCCAGCCGCGGCTTCTGCACTCCGCCACCCTAGATCCTCTTCGGGGGGCGACTGGTTTGAGTCACGCCCAAACACGCGCGGTTGGGAGCGCAGAGGCCGGGGCCCAGAAGGAACAAGCGTGTGCAGGCTCCACATCACCACCGAAGAATTTAGCATCAGAGCCCAGTGCTAGCGACACTGCACGAATTAAAACAAAAGAACCAAATAGAGAAGAGGAGCGGCACAACCAAATCATATGTACACAGGAAACTCTTGTCGAGGCAGAGGTATCTGGGGGAAGCCTGATTGAAAAAACGGAGGATGATGTACAAGAAGTGATTCTCGCAGCGTGTGTGGAGAGACAAATGTCTTCACGGCAACCAGGTCCCAGAGAGACCCATGTGGATCCTGTACGTTCTGCTTCTACTAGTGCTTCTCAGCGGATGAGTCCTACACGCGACATTTCACTCACATTTACCCCTCTCTTGGTTGCCGTTAACAGCGTTGGTGCGAGAACGCCGACACACACAGAGCCATCTTTGCTTCTTTGTGCCTCTGATTGTAGTACAGAGGTTGCCAACACGAGCTCCACCGTGAATTTCGCACCGCTCTCACAAGTGAGATTAACCGAGGAGACGCTTCAGGACGCCGAGTCTCAGCAACCATCGCTGCAGTTGCCACTGTGGGGGGAATGTGGCTCTGTTTCATCCCCTGCCCACCCTCACAATACGCCGCCGATGGTTTCTGCCACGATTGCTAATAAGGCTACTGATGTGAGTGCCGTGCCTAGTATCAGGGAGCAGGTGGGAGTGGAGAGATGCTGGGGGAGCGGGTCCGACTGCCTGACAAATGTTGAAGGAAGTGGGGTAAAGCGTTTACCCTTAGTCGTGGCCGTGCTGGAGGGACATTTCGCCACGAGTGAAATTACAAGCAGTCACGGGAATGCGTCGCATAGGCCGGGTCTTTCGACGGCAAGATCCTGCGAGGGTCTTGTAGTGACACCGCGTGCCCTACCGACATCTGCGTCGGATCTTCACTTTGCCCATTGCCAGTGTTGGGGGGCACTGCCGCACACTACGTCGTCGCCCGGCACGTACTCCTCTTCACTCAGTCTGCTAGGAACGGCACCACGCAGCACTGTGCCACGCCATCGAGGTGGGTTGTTATCGCCCTTCCCACTGTTCCCGCCGTCGCATTTAACATTTTCAGGGACTAAGGAGGTTGCGGTAATAGACAGTTTCGAGACAGGCTGCCACGTGCATCGTCGCAGTTGTGCGTCACCATCGCCAGAGCAACCCCATTTGTCGTCCTCGTTGTCTGGGCACTTGTGCTCACCGGGAACCGAATTCGCCTTATCCAAAGCAGTTACGCGTGCCAATAGTTCAGAGGGATTGGTGGAAACGGTAGCAGATAGCTGCGCTGTTGGGGAACGGAAAAGCTCAAGGTACTTCTGTCGATGGTGCGACGAACCCTATGCGTGGCGTGAAGTTTGCGTGGTGGCAGATGAGCTGCATGATGTTTTGCGTATACGACGGAAGCACGAAAAAGAGGTGAAAAAACGTGCCCAATGGCTTCTTCGCTGTGGTAGAATCCAGGAGGCTGTCTCGGAGTTGCAGGCTGCCGGGGTAGTGTAAGCTCCGGCAAGAGCGTGTGTGTGTGTGTGTGTGTTTGAGTGGAATCGGAGTGAACAGGAACAGCAAAAGGGAAACCACAAACACGGTCGCAGCGACTGTGCCATTTAGGTGTCTTAATTGCCATACACTCGCTCCATGTTTGTGGTGCAAGTCGTTGTGCTCTGTCCTGTCCTATGCGCCTCTTTGTTATTACAGCGTGATGACTCGTGATGGTCCTTCCAAATCTCTTAAAATTCATGTTGATGGGGTGAGAGGAGATGCGTACGTGAAGTCTTCCCCCAAAATAAAATCATTTTTTTTATTTTTTATTACTATTTTCTTCTTCTGTGGATTCTTGCTCTCCCTCTCCATTTGTGTATGTGTGGTAGCGGGGCACACGGCAACGAGGTAGAAACTTGCAGAGACGAGGGCGTTTTTGTGCGTGTTTCTGTGTGGTGGAGGAAAATGGTGGAGCTTATCATCGACACCAACGCCGACATTGACGTGCTTCTCCGCGAGCTGCAGCGACTGAAGAGGACGCAGACGACGGCTGCCGTACGGCCGGCTGCTGCTCTCTCATGGGCCGACATTTATGCGGACCCTACGCTAGTGGAGTTGTTTCAAGAGCGCCTATCAAGTGTGATGAGTGCTGCAAAGAACCAACGTGTCATTCACTTCCCGCGTGAACGTTTGTTGATTGACAACAACGGTGATGCGGAGGTGGAGCTGCTGGCGCCGCATCTCCGCATCCTGCCGGAGAGCGCGATCCACAGCAGGTCCAAGCAGGAGGAGCGTAGGGCGGACTTCAAGGAGGCGAAGCTAAAGGCATTGAAGGCGCATAAGGAGAAAATGCTACAACTCGCTTTGCAGCGCATTGAGCTGTTGGGCAGTGCGGGCGGAAGTTCCTGCGCGTCAACTGGCGCTGCGGCGGAGGGAGCGGAAACAGGCGTCGATATGCCGCCAGCTACTCCGCTTGACGTTGACGGCGAGAAGGCCAGCACGGAGGCAGCGGACGAGGAGAGTGAGGGTAGTGCTCCGCCGCCACCACCACCACCACCCGCCGATAGCGATGATGATGATAGTGCGTCGGAGGGAGCCGACATGGAGGGGGATGATGATGACGACCCTCCGCCGCCGCCGCCACTGGAAGACGATGATGATGATAATGCGTCGGAGAGAACCGATACGGATGGGGATAATGATGATGACCCACCACCACCACCGCCGCCGCCGCCACCGCCGGAGTAGAGCGCGGGGCGGGCCGTGGAGCCTCTCTTGTTTTGTCTTCCCGAGTAATTTGTCGTCGTATTATTATTATCATACTTTTTTGTTTGTTCTTCTTGCGGGTGTGCGCCAATGCGTGCCTCTCGGGGCCACTCTCTCTGTGAGACGTAATGCTGCCCTTGCTGGCTCCCTTGCACACACACACACACAACGTTGGACGCACCCGCCTCATCTTGCTGTGAAACACACCTTCCCATCCTCCTTCTCTTCTCTCTTTTTCCCTTTTTCTCATCCCCTGATGTAATTATTTATTTATTTGTATTGTACGGGTCTGAAACGTGAACCCGATTTTTTTTTGTTTCTTATTCTATGCGGACAGCAGTGCAGAGACGAAGTAGGGCGACAGGAGGGCAAACACGCGGGCATCACACACATTCGTGCTGCCTTTATCGGATTTTATATTACTGAATGTCTATTATCAAATGCACACTATAAAAAGAAGATGGAATAATAATAATAATGAGTTATTTCTCGTTGTTGCCATTATGCATGCGCTTGCGCGTGTGTCATGTTTACCCTTTGCTCTTAGGTGTCTTGTGTGAGATGGTTTTTTTTCTTCTCTCTCTCTCTCTTTTTGTTTCTCTCTTCTCTGCTTTGGCAAGGTACAGTGGAAGGTAAAGTCCAACTGGCGCGGAACAGGCATCTCACATGCGGCACTGGCCTGTCCTAGTGTTGGGGAGGAGCTGCCTGCAGCGCTGGAGGCAAGTGGCAATGCGTGGAGCGGCGACTGGAGGAGGTGCTGCTCACATGCGCAGCTGTCACCCTGCAGGGCCAGTGGTAAGTAAGTCTAACACCGACGCCATGGGGCAGCCGGGTGTCTTGCCACCGTGGCCGGTGGACGCGATTGAATTCAACACAAGACTTCCAAGCGGCGGACACGACAAGCGCCGCGCTAACGAAAAAGATACAGCTCTTCTTGTCTGCTCCAAAGCCTCTCCGATGGGCCCCGATACAACATATAGTGGGGAACTACCGTCGCCGCAAACACCAACAGAGCAGCAGTGGCATGAGGTTCATCGTGTGGAAAAAACAGAAGTCGGGGCGCGGGCTCTGGCTGCGGGCGGGTGGGTGTGCGGGTCGTGTTTCCATTGCATGCCACATCGTTCTCGCTCTGTCTGTGACTTTTGTCATGCTGTCCGTCACGATGCGGCGGAGGCGGTGGCAGGCTGGCGTGAGGATCCCACCACGTGGTTTTGTAGTCGATGCCGCGAATTCAACTTTGAGCGAGACTTTGCCTGTCGCTCTTGTGGGTTGCAGCGCGATGCGCAGCTTGAACTGCGTGTGGTGCGTCATGAGCGGGTGCTGGACGAGATTCAGCGTGTCCCAGTGGGTTCCGTGATTGTGACGAGAAATCGCGTCACACGGTGGCGTTGTCTAAGGTGTTCGGAGTCGAATGCACTCCAGTCGTCAGTATGTCGCCACTGCAGCAAGGAGCGTTTTGATTTTACGGTCACCTGCCCTACGTGTAAGGTGTCACAGAAGCTGAGCAACAAGCAGATGTACGGGTCTGAGCCGGCGGACCACATCCATGTGTCACGCCCGTTTGGACTACATAACTGTTTCCCACGTTTGGCTCCTGAGCAGCGCTGCAAGGCTTGCCGAGGTTCTCTGCATGGGGCGACCGCCTCTTCCCGGAGCGACGCATGGCTCTGCGCCTGTGGGCACGTTGGTAACTGTGCCACCCTCTCCTGTGCGAGATGCCGATTCCCTCGTCGGCCGCCTCAAACTGCCATGTTAGAGGAGTTGCTGCGGGTGTGGGATTTTGCGGGAGCCACGAATTGGTACTGTGAGAGTTGCAACCACGTGAACAAGGCTTCGCGGCACATTGTGGCGTTGGAGCGGCGCGGCCCATCGCCACTTGTGGACGCAAAGACCTCCACGAAGCGGGGCGGCGTGTTGAAGGTGTCACGCATCATGCACGGGTTCTCCCACTGCGAGTGCTGCGGGATTCAGTGGCACCACCAGTCGCTGAATGATGGCCAGCACTGGCGCTGCGCCTGCCACAAGGTGAACCACAACGACGACACGTGCTGCCAGGTTTGCCGGTTGCCTGCCGTGGACAACATTCGCTCCGACGTGCTCTCCTCCTGGTCGCGCGGAGACTGGTACTGCTCGCGCTGCCAACGCCAGAACTACAGGGAGAAGGTCATCTGCTCCTGTGGGGAGAAGCGTCCAAAAGGCTGAAGCGGATCAAACAGTAGGGAAGCAGGGAGTTGCCGCGAAGAGGTGAAGGAGGGCGAGCGGGAGAGGGGTAACGGAAAGAACAACTACAATAAGGGCTAGGGGGAATGCAATTCAAATCGCAGGTAGACAAACGACTGCCCTGCGAACACGGTAGCGCAGTGCCCCGCGAGTACCTCTCCTCTCCGCTCACCCACAGAAACATAAGCTGAAACAACAACGAAAGGCGAAAAAAAAAAATGCATATATTATCAACGCAGCAAACTTCAAAACGAATGTCAGGGCTTCATTAAAATGAGAAGCGCTAGCGAGAGCAAAACAAGCAAACAAAAATAATATTGGAGTTGCATTAAAAAGCTGTAATGTCCTACGGTTGCAGCATTTTTGTCGCCTGCTGTTTTTTTTTTTTTTCTTTCTTCTTCCCTTTCACTTGTATTTTTTGCTGCCATTTAGACAATCCTGCCGAAGAAAAAAGACCCTGGAAATCACCATGGAAGGGAGGAGATTTCACCCCTAAGCGAGAACTGGGGAGGCAGCTTTGCACACCTTCTATCAGGACTCTCCCCAAACAACTGATGCATTTTGCCATATATATATATATATATTTTTTTTCTTGCCGTGCCGCTACGACTGCCGTGGAACATTTTTCTGTTTAATTTTGTCGCACCTCCGACAGGAGTCAAAAAGACTAAATACGCAACGACAACAGAAGGTGGTTTGCGTGTGTGTGTGTGTGTCTGTATGAAGAGAAAGTGGGGGTGGACAATTACGCGGTAGTTTAGGGAAAATGCATTTTCGAATTGTGGCGTTTCCGTACACGCCACCTGTAGGTGCGGCGTACGCCGATGCTTGTCTGCCTGCACGGCCAGGTGTACGGCTGCGTGTGGTGCGCCATGTCGATCCCTGGGCCATCGTGGAGTTGGATGGGCGGTTGGGCCTCTTCCCAATTATCTTTACCCGCGGTGAGCGGCAGGATCGTTTTGTGCGGCGTAAGGCACGCCAGGAGCTTGTTGGGGTGGCAGCTCATCCCATAGAAGACAACGTTGTCCTTGACGACAAGGAGCGCGGTGGGGTCGTGGGTTATACCGCAGAGGTAATCCCACCACCTGATGAGGCTCAGGGTGAGAGGGACGAGGAGGTTGCTGCGCCAGGCGCCAGTAGAAGTGTTAACAGCAGCAACAGCAGTGAAACGGGCAACCGCCTCAATGACAGCAGTAATGGAAATATCCGTGGCCTGACAGACCACCACCTACATCTGAATTGTAATGAGAGTGGTGGGGACGAGGAGAGAGATGTGGAGGCAGGTGCTGCTTTCTTTGCGAAGGTGCGTCGCTGCCGAGTGGCCCTCGGCGAAGGGACGAGCCACGACTGTTTGCTCCCGAAGCAGATAAAGGGGCCCACACACACCTGCGAGAGCGATGAGCTGCAGGAGTTGCGCAGGCAGTACACGGAGCTGGACGCGGAGATGGCGTGGCTTTCCCACATCACGGAGGCGGTGAAGGCGGAGCGTCAGCGCGTTATGAACACGCACGCTTCCAACGTCAAGGAGCGTGTGGCGGAGCAGCGGGCTGGAAGGGAGGAGCTGGAGCGGCTGACCCATGGCATCGCAGCGAAGGATGCGGAGCTGAAGGTTGCCGCAAAGTACACAAGTCTTCTCCGCTCAATTCTTTTGGAGAACAACGTAACTGATGAGCCGCTGGAGTCGTTCACACAATTACCACGGCTGTCTGACTCCGTTTTATCGCCATTGGCGCAATACGCGCAAGATGTGAGTAATGATGACGTAAATAACGACGAGGAGGACGAGGATGTTTCAGAGCCAGTGGAGGAGTTGGCACGGGATGCAAAGGCGGCTGCGGAGGTGCATGCCATCAAGGCATGCATTAGGCATGAACGCGAAACTCTGCAGGACTACCACAAGCGGTATAATCAACTGATGGCTGACACGAAGCGTCTGAGGCAGGTCCATGCGGCAATAGAGGTGGACTCATGTGCACTGCGTGAATCTGAAGAGGCTCTGGAAGCGGTGACACCGACGGGGTCATACACGGTGGTGCACAAGAGTGGTTGCAATGATGGTGCGGGGCGGCAACCTGCGGGTGGCGGAACACCTTTGGCTGTGTCACGGCCAAGTGTGGGAGGCGTTGAGGTGGTGATGCGGGAGGGATTCACATGGCCCGCCACACTTCCCGGGCTGACGACGGAGGAGCAGCAGGCTGCAGACAACTACCAGCGACTCCTCCACGGGTACAAGACGAAGCGGCAAAAGTGGCAGGAGGAACATGGGGAGGCGACGAAGCCAAATTCGACCTTCGTGAATGAAAAACTTCGAGCGGCGATACTGACGGGAGACAAGGCGCTGAACGAATTACTGCAGCGAATGGCAGAACTGAAGGAGTTTGTCACCAAATACAGCGCAGTAGCAGAGTCGCTCCGTGAGCAAGTGGCGGTGAGCCGGAGGGTACTGGAACGGCAGCGGGAGAAGTGCAGCGACGCTCGTGCTGCGTATGAGGCTGCACTGGCATCCGAGGCGGGAGACATCAAAAGGTGAGTGTTCGTGTGTGTGTGGTGTCAAGTGAGGAAGCTTATCCGTGCCGTGTGTGGATGAGGGGGTGTCACAGAGTAGGTGGCTTTGATTGCCGCAAAGTTGTTGATACAACGTATGCCTATCCACCAATTACCGCGTGTGTGTGGTGTCTGGGGGAGGGACACTGTGCGTCACGCCACGTGCCTCAGCTTTGTCTGCGTTACTGCAGTCAAAAAACGGCGAAAAAAAAAGTGGGGGGAGGGGAGTTTATTGCGGCATGTTTCCCTGTTTTGTTCTTGTTTCTTTGTTGTTTCTCTGTTGTTCGGCTCAGCAGCAAGAAGGGGGCAGGAACCAACAGAGGTGGAAACAAAAAGAAAAACCAAAAAAAAAAACAGAAAGACAAAAGACAAAAAGACAAAAAAGGAGGAGAGGGAGGATATATTTACGTTGCGGGTCGCCCGTATAAATTGCCTACTCGGACTCCTTACTCATCCCTCGTCATTATCATTAAGGAAGTAGTTGTTTGTTGTGCGTAAATATTCCATAAATGGCCTTTCTCTTGAAGGCGATCGGCCTCTTCGACTCCATACCGGGGTTTCCCTACACACCCAGTGGCGGCAGTGGCGCTGGCAGCACAACCGCCGTGACACCCACCCTCACGTGGACAATGTGCCCTGGCGTGGGTAAGGAGGATGAGCGAGCTGTTACGATATTTTCCATTTGTTTATCAAAAGCTGACAGTGGAGTGAAGGAGATGGCGCGGCATGCGATGAAGCGCGCGAAAAGCCTGTTGCTGCCAGGTCTCCTGCGCTGCTACGGTGCGGCGGAGCACCAAGAGACGGTGTACATTGCCATGGAACCGTGCGAGCCGTTGCGTACGGTACTGCAACAGTCGTCAAACACGCAAGATGGCGAGGACGGCGATGAAGAGGAGGCTTTCTTGGAGAGTGTTGCGTTGGGATTGAAGGCGGTTGGATCAGCTCTCACCGCACTGCATCACAACAACTTTGTGCATGGAAATGTCTCCTCCGACTCGATCTTTGTTATTGCAGGCGGCGAGTGGCGCTTGTTTGGCCTTGAGCTGCTCAGTACATTTAACGAACCCCGTAGTATTTATCAACGCCACTGCCTGCTGTTGCCGGAGGGGCGACGTCCGCCAGAGACACTCCAAACAAACTATGAAACGAGTCGGCACATTAGCAACATCGACTCGTGGGGGTTGGCGTGCCTCATATATGAGGTTCTAGGTGGGCCTATTGGACAAGCACGGAGCCTAATGCAAGTGAACTGGAAGGCAAATGACATGCGTGGGTGTCGGAGTCTTCCACGAACGTTGCAGAGCGGCTTTATTGGTCTTTGTGCTGCCAACCCGAAAATGCGCCATGATGTGGAACGCTTCTTGAAGACCAGTGAATTTATCGTTGGGAGCGAATTTGTGCAGTGCATGCATGCCCTAGATGAGTTGTCGCTGAAGGACACTGTGGAGCGGGAGCGATTCTTTGAGCATCTCACGGAGGTTGTCGACATGTTCCCCAAGAGGGCGTGTATGTGTCTGGTGCTACCCAAACTGCAAGCCTCGTTTAAGTTTGGTATCCTTCCAGCCGTTATAGAGCCTGTGCTTAAAATCGCCGCAAATATCACCGCACCGGAGCACTACGCAGCATACGTGGCACCCATTATTATTAAACTGTTTGCCTCCCAAGACAGGGTGGTGCAATATCGGATGCTTCAGCGAGCCTCTGAATACGCATCGATGCTGCCAGCTACCGTGGTTAATGAACAGTTGTGGCCCTTTTTTGTGTCGGGGTTTAGCAGTCCCGTTCCTAGTATTCGGGAGTACAGCGTGCGCGCCTTGGTGGCGTTTGCCAACAGTTTAAGTGAGAAGATCATGCTCACTGATGTTCCCAGGTTTATTTCACAGTTACAGCAGGACACCGAGGGGGCCATCCGCACAAATGCCACCATCAGTCTCTGTCTCATGGCGGAGAAGATACCCACAGCGGATCGTTCAAACATTCTTGTGCACGGGTTTGGCAGGATGCTTAAAGATCCTTTTGTGCCTAGTCGTCTTGGGGCTCTGCGCTCCTTTCGCACGTGCTTGGCACACCTAACACCGCAGCACATCGCAGAGCTGATGCTTCCTGGCGTTGGGCCTCGCGCAGTGGACGATGTCCGTGAGGTACGACAGGAGGCGTTGGATGTGCTACGTGAGGCCATTGGTCGCCTCGATGAGTACAACACCCAAGCACCTTTACAAGAGGCAAAGGCAGGCGTTGCCGCCGCGTCAAACGAGGTGCCCGTCACCAATAGGAAACAGACCTCGTCCTGGTGGGGATGGGGGCGGGGCGCCACCACCACTACCACGACGTCCAGCGATGCGAAGTGTGAGGCTGCTTCAGAAGAAAGCGGCGGATCTGCGCTTGCGTGCAAGGGTGAGAGCAACGGTACCAGTAAATGCCCTGCAGCCTCCCACTTACCGACCAGCTCTGCGGCGGCAAAGACGATGCCCACGACGGTGGTATCTGCGACTGAGTCTGGGTTTAGCGACGATGACGCATGGGGGACTAACGACGAGGAAATCTCTTTCAAGGTCCCGACATCAGAGAGCAGTGGCACGATGGAGAAGTCTAACAATCGGCATTTTGACACGAATAGCATCACACAGCCAGTGACAAGCGGTCATGCAATGAAGCTGCGCAAAAAAGGTCTTGGAGCTGCACGTCTCCAGTAGTCAACAGGTGTGGGTGCGTTGCCAGCGCTTCTCTGGCTCTCTCGTGATGGACTTGTTAAAAGGCAACGTGAATGTACGAAGGAAGAGAGAGGAGAAACAAAAGGCGGAGTGACCCCCACAAAAAAAAAAAAAAACAACTTGAGGGTGTGCGACACTGCTCGTCATTACCTTTGACTGCCGAGGGGAGGGGGGAGGGAGCCTTGCTTACCACTACTATTGTTATTTTTGCTCTTTTTTTTTTTGTTCTTCTTTTGCCCTGCTTACTTATTGAAAGGGAGAGGTTGTGAAGTGGTCTGTGAGACGCACACAAATACCCGCGTTCATAGACGGTGAGTGAAGAGTAAACATTGTACATCCCCGCACCGCTTCTCTACTCCACCGGAGGGGGGCAATCATGCAGCACATGTCTTTGAGGGAGACGGAGGGCACCGTTCGTGGGGTACTTGAAACCTTCTCTGACGCATTGGCTCGCGACGCCCAGGCGTTGGTGTATGGCTGCGGAGAGGTTGTCCAAATGCCGGCAGAGGCAAGTGCAATTATGCAGCGACAGCCACCATCTGAGCCTACAGCTGCGACTGCAGCAGAGGCCTCAGCCTCGGCGTGGTCATGGGAGAAAATTCCCCGCCCCACGCCGCTCCTGTACTTTGCTGCGGTGTCGAAACTGAATAGTCTTCAGCACTCAACAAAAGTGCAAGCGACGGGTGACGAGCGCAACGAGAGGGCGATGGCTGAGCGAGTACTTCTTCTTCTGCGGGTGATTTGTATATACTGCTTCGCCACGGCGCGGCCAGTGACAGGACCCTCTGGCGACGTGCCTTCGCAGGGGAGCAGCGGCCGCACCACGCCGCTGACGCGCCCCGCACGCCGTCCAGATCCCGCTAACAACCACCCCAACACGGAGAGTGAGAATCCAGACGTGGAAACGCGGATGGCGGAAGAAACGTTTCGCGTTGCAGTGGACGCAGTGGTGCGGTTCTCCATATACGGTGCCGCACGATGTGGAAAAGGTGGCACCGTGTCGTTAAAGGACTCTGCCAAGCCTGTAGAACTTTGTACAGAAGTGAGTATAGCGGCGCTGTGTCTGTTGACGGCAGCACTCATGCGCTTTCGCAATGCACCGTTTAATGCCATGCGGTATTTGCCGGCGCTGTTTCCGGAGATTGATGCGAGGGATTCGCGTGTCACTCATCCTCTTTTTACCCCGCTGCTGTGGAGCCCTGAGGAGCGAGTCCGCGCCGCCGCCGCCGCCCTTGTGTCTTCTCTTCTACACAAGCTGCAACATAACTTTAAATACGCAGAGGAGCCACAGCAGAAGCGGAAGTCATTCTCGTCTTTGGCCTCTCAGAGTGGTCGGGCACTCGCATCTCTCCACGACGTACTTTTATATTCCCTGCAGTTGCCGAATGTGTCCCCCGCGACTGCCGGCGCTGCTACTCACTTCTCCAAGGGCCTTGTGTTTTCTACCTTTGCGGTACTTGTGGCAACGACCCCGTACCGCCGTTGCCCTCACGCCCTTGAGGTTGTACAGCAAGCTCTTGAACTTCCACTGGTGCGGGATGCCCTTTTGGATGCATCCTGCGAGGAATTTGCGGCGGCAGCGACGTTTCTCAGTTCCGTGTTCAAGGCGGAGTCCCTCACCAGCGTGGTGTCGTCGTACCTCGCCAACGAAGGCGGTGAGGCTAGCGCCACAAGCAAGGTGCCAAGGGATCCTCCGCTGGAGTGGCGTGTTGGCGGAGGGGCGTTGCTGCTTAAGGCACTGCTAACACATGCGGCAAGTCGTGTTGAGGTTTGGCGGTGCGTGGTGCAACTCTCCCGTATTCACCCATGGATTGTGGGGACGCATTTTGCGATTCTGATGGATGCGGCTTGCGCTGTGCTCGGTGCCACGCTACAAAAGATGGAAGAAGAAAAAGAAAACACTGCTGCGAACGGTAATGTAGCTGTGGGAAATACTTTGGGGGAATGTCTACGGGCTTGGCTACATTTTATGGGTTATGTATGGCAGTCCTTTGATGGTCACTCCGCGGATCCGGCACTTCGGGAGGATTACGTGGCATATCGTGCAACTCAGCTGCAGAAGCAGCAGATCCTGACAGAACTCGTATTACCTGCTCTTCAGATGACGTCTAACGGAGGTCGATACACCGAAGCCTGGCGGACTGCGTTGCGGTGTGTGGCGCAGGTGGGTGACGACTACTTCTCCGCCATGCCGAGAACACGTCGTGAGGCGATTGTTGCGCAGGTAATTGGTAGTACAACAGCACATGAGAGTAGTGTGCGGTCTGAGGCGTTCACAACGATAGGTGTATGGGCGTGGCAGTACAGTGCATTTGAGGAATGGCTAACGGGCTTTGTTGAACGTGCTGCAAGTGCATTGTGCAACGATGCAGAGCCCACAGTGCGTTTCAAGGCGGCCTTTGCCCTCTCGAACATTACCTCCCGTCTGAGGGAGGAAACGGAGCTCAGCCCGCTGCGGCAATCCCCACATCACATGCAGCTGCTTTGCGATGTTGCCATGTACGCTACACAGGTTTGCGATGACCCAGCAGTTGTAGGACATGGCATCCGCATGATGAGTCATCTGTTGCATAGTCTCAGTTTTGAGGAACTCATTGCCGAGTTACCCGAGGAGCAGGAGTGTGTGGCAGAGGGATATCTTAACGCCTTACTCCGGTTTCTGCTGCCGTCAAACCGTGACGCCAAACTACGCTGGAACACTGCATGTGCCCTTGGACTTGGTCTTTCGCGGGAGGTGGTCTTTGAGGCGGAGCCACCTGCGGCGACACGGGCCGTGGAGCGACTATGTGTTATTGTGTGCCACGACCGCATCTTCAAGGTGCGCACGCAGGCGGCTGTGGCACTTGCAAAGGTGCCGATGACATGTCTTTCGGCGGGGCGCTACACCGCAGAGGATCTTGCCCCAAAGGTGACGCGGGCTCTTTGTGAGGCCCTGCAGGCGTCGGGTGGTTCCACCGAGAACTTTGCACAGTACAAGGAGCAGGATGCTCTGTGTGCGGCACTGCGGCAGGCGCTTGGAGTGATGATCACCAGTGCCTCCCCAAGCGCCATGCTGCAGCGCGTCTTTGGCGAATACCGTGTAATGTTGGAGGCGGAAGGACTCTTGTAGCACTTGAGTGTGTCATCTGCCTGCCCCCGACCCTCAGCCGTTTCCCACCGCCACCACCGTCGTCTCCTCCTTCGGTTGATACTTTTACTTGAGGAAGACGCCCATCGCATCCTTGAAGTTATTTTTGTTTGGTTATTGTTGCCGCATTTTTTTTTGTTTTTCTCTTCTTCCGTTCTTTGCTTCCTCTTTCTCTTTCTGCCTCGGTGTTGCCTGTCACCTTTTTTTTTCCCCCCTTTTATTGCCTTGCCTTTCCCAAAAAAAAAAGGAGTCGAATCCGCGGAATTGATACATTTTCTTTTATTTATTAACGTATTGTTTCGCAGGGTGCAAGCCGATGCACCGCGCGGGTGATCGTTGTGGCTGCAGCGCGGACGAGAAGCCGCTGCCTTTCACACCGGTGGACGCCATCCGCATTCAACAGGAGCTTAAGCACCATGGCGGGGGGATAATTGCCGCTGAGCAGCATGGCCGCACATTTGCCTCACAGTACGCCTCGCCGCTGCAGATGCTTCGACGGTCCACCGCACTTTGCAACCTACCGGCTTCTCGTTGCGGAGCGGAGGATCCGCTACGGCAGGGCAACAGAAGCACCTCTCGCCCCTTGCGAAGTGCTCCCTATTGCCGTGCGGAGCCTTGTGTTTTCAGGCGGAAGCAGCGAGGTGCGCCACAGCTGCTGCATGCAGGAGACGTGAAACCGCCACCGTTTCCCAGCAGCGCAGCGAGGCTTGAAAACGACGTTGCCTTGGGCCTTGCTGCCTCTCTGTGGCACAGCGGCAACGTGGTCGGTCAGTGCAACGACCGCCTTGCCCACCTCTTAGTGCTCTCTTCCACCGTGGTGCAGTCGGTGCGGTGCGAGGCACAGAGTGGCCTGGAGCCGCACGTGCCATTGGAGTTGCGGGAGGCGCTGATGGCTGTCATTGAGCACCTTGTCCGCCTGGAGTGCGTCGTTGCGAGGGCGATGCTGCTGACACCCGTGGAGGAGGAGCCGCACCAGCGTCGAGCGGCATACCCGAAACGGCATGGGTTGTCAGAAGGCTACTCCTCTGGGGTGACTGCCACACGGATGTCACGGAGTGCGTTTGCAGTTGCCGTGAGAGGTGCCGCACTGGTCCTCATGGGGCTTGTGGAGCCTGCCACGCTGGCGACGGCGTCTGTTGTCCCCACCTGGCAGTGCTCGCTCGTTCGCACGGCGGCGGATGTGCCGAACCGGTACGATATCCTTGACGCGCTGGCGGACGTTTTGCGGCCGTGTCGCCGCTTTACGGTACGCCGCACCTTCTGCGCCGTCGCTCGACACTTGGCATTGGCGGTGCTGCAGGCGGCGGGCGAGGGGAAATTTGGAACGCGTGGTGGGGCAGCCGCACTTTGCATTTTGCGGCACATCAATACACGACCAGTGTGCCTCACCGTGGAGGAGCGCGTGGCTGGCCAGTGCTTCCTTGCCGCACTTGAGCGGAAGGCACGCAGGCTGACGGCGCTTTTGCCACCAGATGTCTCGGATGAAGCCATACAGCCGACGAGAGAACTCATTGACGCGGTGCGGCTTTTCTGCACACCGCCTGCATGAGCGCGGGGCGGATGTCGTCCCACTGATGCAGATGCGTTTGACATGTATATGCGTGTGCACCTTTCATTGTCTTCTCATTACAGCAAGTGACGCCTCACTTTACATGTGTGTGTTACTTTTTTTTTTTTTTACTTTGGGGGTGAAGGCGCCATTATCTGTTTGTTGTGTTAAATTATATATATATATATATATTATTGTATTTTTTTTGTTTTACCGGTGTTTTTGGGTGGCATTTTTTGGGTGGTGGTTTGTTTGTAGGAGTTTCCTTCCGTTGGTCGGCTGGAAAAGCTCTCGTGTCTGTGCTGCGCATAGTTTATATCCGGGAGTTTTTTGTTTTTTTTTTTGTGTGTGTGTCTAATCATTGCTTGTGTGCGTGCCTGTGTGTATATAATCCTCCTGTGCGATGATTATTATTACTATTTGGGTGAGTTTTTCTTTGTTGTTTTTCATCTCTGCAACTCCTATTGTCTTAGCTGCATTTCATTGAGACCCACAAGTCGGTGGTGCACAGCCACGTCGCGAAGTAGTATACACAGCTGTTTGTGAGTAGCAGGGGAAACATTGAGAGGAGATGACCACGCTGCTTGAGTCCTACTCCAGTGGTTCTGCAAATGCATGCGCCTCCTCCTCGTTGACGCTGGGGTTTGATAACGTGACATTGCGTCGGGACAAGCGTGTTGTCATAAACAATGCCTCTGGCATCATACATGGCGGTCGACTGACGGCTATTGTCAGCTGCAGTGGGATGCCGAGTGGCTCTTTTTTGCTTGGCGCACTTGCGGGGCGGGAGGAGTGTGCGAGTGGGACCATCATGATGAACGGCATCCCGATGGATGCCCCGGCGTACCTCCACCATGCCGTGCTCATTGACGATGAATTCACCGCACTGGAGGAGCTCACCGTTCGGGAAAGCATTGAGTACGCCGCCTCCATGCGCGTCGCCATCAGCACTTTCACCGTGCAGGAAATTATAGAAATGTTAATGCTTGAAAGTGTCGCAGAAGCCGTGGTACGGAAATGCTCCCTCTACGTGCGTCGCCGTGTATCATTGGGGCGAGAGTTGCTGCTGAACCCGCGCTTACTTTGCTTTGATCAGCTGTTGGAGGGCCTGCGAACCCAGGAGTCGCAAGAGTTTATGCGCCTCTTGCAACGCATTGCGGCTCCCGCCTCCATTTCTTTCACCTCAAACAATTCGTCACAATTACCTTTGACCCCCTCTCGTCTGTCGCCCTCACGCAGCTCCGTCGCTGCCTCTGCTGAGACCCCTCAGACCCCACCAGCCGCCGCGGAGCCGGGGCTTGCAACGGTGAAAGCCTCAACCTCGGCACCCCAAGGTGTGGCAGTGGAACTGCAACGGGCGCGGGAGCGCATCGTGTTGGTCGCCATGTCCCAGCCACGTTGGGCAATACTGAAGTTTGTCGATGACGTGATTCTGCTTGAGCATGACACCTGTGTGTTTTGTGGAACACTCGCAGAGCTTTTTGCCACAATCTGCGTCGACCCAGCCTCAGGTGTTGTGGAGAGTGCGATTAGCTCCCTGTATCGCCTGGCATCCGGCTCAGAAACCTCGCTTTCCGACACCTTTGCACATTCAGGCAACACAGAACGTGTGCGGCAGAGCGTCGTGCAGTTCTTTCACAGTTGTGCCTCGGGGCGGGAGATACTTGAGGGAAAGACCTACTCTAGCCCTGGAGCCCATGTACGGTTGTTTTACATGTTTAAGTACGACCTGCTACAGCTGCGACACAATCTTTTTCTAGGCACTCCTATCTTCCTTCTGCTCGTTTTGCTGGTTGGGGTGCTGGCGGCGGTGTACAATAGCCAAGAGGGACAGAGTGGGATGCAGAATCGCATTGGTATCATCTTCTTCCTTGTGAGCTCCACGTTCCTGTATAGCATTCTCACCTTGGACTCACAGCGACGGGAGTACAGCAGTTTTTTGCGTTATCGGGCGTCATGGGTACTATGGCGTTTTTACCTACTTGACCTATGCCGTTTTGTACTGCAGCATGGAACGAATTTTCGTACTGTCTTTACTGACCTTTGCAGGGTTTTGCATCTCCAACGTGGCGGAGAAGTGGAACTACTACGGCCTCATCATGGAGCTTGTACTCATCATTGGTGTCTTGTCCTTCTGCAGTCACTTTGTTGTGTTTTTCTTTTGCACCGTGATATGGACGCGCAGGGTTGCCATGTTTGCTCTCTTTGCCGTGTACACGTTGAACTTGCTCCTCGCAGGCATCATTCTGAACCTCAAGACGTTGCCGAGGGCCTTTCAATTCATCTCCAACGTCTCACTTATTCGCCTGGCATATGAGTCCTCCATTCTTTCACAATTCCTGGGCCGTGACTTTGGCTGCGGGCAGACAAACAAGACTATGTGCTACACCGGCCCACAGTATGCGGCGTTTTTAGGGTTCAAAGAGTCACGCATGTGGGTGAATGTCGGCATTCTTGCCGGTATCTCTGCACTGCTCATTATGGGGTGCCTCTGTGCGATGCTGTGGCGGCGTCCGCCGCGTGATCGCTGCTAAGACACAATCCAGAGGACCACACAAGTGAGTGAAAAAGTGCGCAGGGGTGTGTGAGAGAGAAAAGAGTTCTGCCAATATTTTTCATCTTCATGCACATGCACGTGTTAGTGTTTTTTCTCGGTGATATCGTGGGCGCATGCGGTGTTTTCTGTTGGCCTTTTCCTAACTCTGTACGCGTTTTTTTTTTGAGTGTTTATGTGTATGCTCCGTTGCGGATTCGTCTCCCCCTTCCCTCCTCTGCACTCACAGACTCTTCACTCCCCTTTACTGGGGTCAAGTGAATGGACCGCGACGGGGGCCGGGCAGTGAGGGAAATCCAACTGAGTAGTAGGATGCAGTGAAAGAGACGCTGTGTGGTTCGGCCAGGGTCAGTCTCATGTATCCACTGTAGAAGTGTGTACTATTTCTGTCAACAAGAGCGAGTGAGAGAGAGGAGGAAGCAGGAGTTGCCTCTGCGTATCGTTTCTGATGCTTGTATATATTTATGGCACTCGTCTTTCTACTGCGTTTTTTTTTGTTGTTGTTTCTTTTTTTTTTTTTCTTGCCTCTTTTTGCCTCTCTGTCGTTGGCAGGAGCATTCATCAACTCCCCACACACCGTGGGAAGGGGAGGCGGGGGGATGTGGGGGAAGAGGTGGTGCGCCTGCACCAATGCCGTGTGGATTCTCTGGACGGTTGGCGGCCGCCTGCGCACCGTCTACAACGGCTCGAAAAGCGAGGAGGAACGGCGCAAAGACAAGCACGCAACGTTGGTTCGCCTTACGGCGTTCGCCATCGCCTTCGCGATGTTTGTGACGGTAGACAAATACGGCGATCCAGTGGAAGCAGTGGCGGGCGTGACACGCGGCGTACGACGTTTGCTGCGAGGAAGTTATCGCGTATCAACGACTGCAATGAGTGGATGAAGTCAGCAGATGGGTGCTAGAGCGTCTTCTTGCTGGTGCTGCGAGGCAATGCAATGCAGTGAGGGGAAACAATTTTTTTTTGTAAATAAACTTTTACCGGCACAGCGGCTTCATTCTCTTGGTGTCTTCTTGTTGTTGCTGCCGCCGTCTTTGCAGTGGAGGAGGAGAAGGTAAGGACCGCTTCTTTCTTTCTTTCTTTTTCTGTTCCTATACGTCTATGCGTCCGTCTTGCGTCTGGCAGCGGCACATTGGTCGCGCCGCCGCTATGGCCTGCATGTTACTTGCGCCCACATTTGCTGCTTGTTGGTGACGCCTCCTTTCTGTTTTGTTTTGTTTTTTGCAAATTCTGGCACACGTCCGCGTGTGCATGCGTCATGGGCGCACGCGTGCAGTAGTGGTAGTAGTAGGTGGGCAAATAGACAGTAGTGCGCTACCGCGACCGTGTGGCGGGAGCAGGAGGACGCGGGGAGATGGCCCGAGGAGGGAGTAAAACAGGACGGGGAGAAAAGGCAGAGAGCGATGTTGTCAGGCTACAGTATCGCACGCCGTGGATGATATTTACACCGACATTCATTTTCTTTTTTCTTCTTAACTATCTGGCCTGGTTCACCACCGTCAATGAGGACGGCACCGATCTCGTCGCGTCACCCTACGTCGCTGCCATACAGGCGGAGAGGGCGAGAAACCTGTGGAAGCAGGAGTGGTCGTTTGATATGCAGGTCTTCCTTGAGGATACCGTGCTGCGCAGCCTCTTCCGTGTGAGCCAACACTTTGGCGGAATGGAGGGGGTTCGCATCATATGGTGCCTTGCATGGCTGGCGCACTGCCTGGAGGTGGGCATCGCCTTTCGAATTTGTCTGTCATGCGGAGCGACGCCGGCAGTGTTTGCCGCATACTGCCTTTTCACTGCGCTTGGCGGCGTCACCCAGCTGCTACCGCTGATTGAGGCCCGTGACAAGTACATCTCGCTGCTGCCAACCCCGACAGCCAAGAAGAATAAGTAAACAGCGCCGCCCAGCGATGAGGGAGGAGAGCGTGTCAGAGGCCCATTCGCGGTAGTTTGCTGTGGACCACATCTAAGAGTGGTTGTCCATTTTTTCCCCCTTTCCTGTGTTGTTGTTGTTGTTGTTGTTGGGGCGACTGTCTTGCTCTGCGATCTGTATGTGTGTGTGTGTGTGTGTGTGTGTGTGTGTATGTGTGGCAGCTAGAAGAGGTCTTGTGGGTGGCGGGGAGAGAGGAGGTGCGTGTGCTCATCGGGTCCTGCTCAAGCTGCACTGAGAGGTGCTGGCACACGAGGGATGATACTATGCACCGTTCTGTGGTGCCTGCGCCTTCTCTCGTTACTTGTTCCTTCGCCTCACACTCCCTTCATGATGCTCGTGGGCAGAGATCCGCACAGACACACGGAGAGACAGAGAAGCACAACCACATAGTTGCCTACAGAAGCGGTGTCTTGTGCGTTGAGGGGTAGGCAGCGAATACGGTATTGCCTCGCCAGGCGCAACGGACGAGCCACCAGTTCACACATTTACAAGGGGGTGGGGCAGGGTGCCGCTCGCTCTCTTGCAGCTGCATCAGCAAAAACCCGGTGTCCGCTATTCCGCTCCTTTTTTCTCGGCCGCAGAAGGCCCTCATCATTCACAACTCCCTAACTGTTTGCAGAACGAGACATCAGTTTTTCCCGTGGCGGGGGAAGACTCAGAGTCTCTCACATCTTCATGGGTGGGTGCGGCAACGGCGCTAGGGGGACGCCCCATGCCCGCCACGTCTTCGGCGTTCAGCCGTATTTTTCAGCCGCTTACACCGGCCGTGCCCCGGCGGCGCGCCGACGTTATCGCTACCGATACCACCGCGCCGCTGCGTATGCGGACAGGGACCACGACGTTATCGGCGGCAAAGCGCTCTGGGACGAGCCAAGGGGACGGGGAGTGCATTGTGGCGCTCATCGACAATCGTGCCAATGAGGTGGGCGTGGCCGTGTGCAAGTTTCCATCCCTGGCAGTAGTCATCACACAGTATGGTGACAGCGTGGCCTTTGCCAAGACCTTGTCCTTCGTGTTCTCCCGCAACCCTGTTGAGGTGCTTGTGCCGGAGACGGCGGTGGGGGGGAAGTTGGTGCAAACGCTGCTGCGTCACTTTCGCGACATCACCTTCACAGGAGTGCGGCGCCGCACCTTTGACGAGGCCCGCGGTGCCCACCGTCTGCTGGAACTCATGTCAACCGACGAGGCTTGCCTGGAGGTTGGCAACACGGACCGCTACCTCTGTGTGGCGGCGGCCAACGCCCTGGTCGAGTTTCTGGAGACGACGTATAACTACACGCTACTTCCGCATACCGTGCGGGTGCAGTATCTAGCGCTGGAAAATTACATGGAGGTCTCTCGGCTTGCGGCGCGGGCGTTGCAGCTTATCCCGTCCGGCTCGCCACTCCGCGCCCAGCGAGGCGGCCCGCTGCACAACGAGACTGCAGGGACTGCAAACAATGCACGAACGGCCCGCAAGACACTTTTCCGTAGTTCACGCGATAAGCGGCAGGACACACCGATGCTGCTGCCACTTGTGGAGGTGTTGAATCACACAATGACAAGTGTAGGCCGACGACTGCTGCGCTCCACAATTCTGCAGCCGCTGCGGGACCCTACAAGTATTGAGCTTCGCTACGACAGCGTTGAGTGGTTGCGGCACGATGAAGAGGCAATGACTGCGCTGCGGCGTTCGCTGCGTTTGCTTGGGAAAGACGACATGGAACGCTCCATTTCCAGCTTTTCGCATGAGCCAAAGCTGCAGACCATTAAGACTATGCAGCAGCGAATTGAGGCCGTTGTGACGTTGTGGCAACAGCTAGGCGCCGCCACGCAGCTTACGGCTACTTTGCGTGAGTGTTTAGGTGGGGACGACGACACAGTGCAGGATCGCGGCCATGATATCTGTTCTTGCCACAACAGTGAGGACAGTGAGAGGGATGACAGCGATGCGGAGGATTCCTCTTGTGAAGAGCAGCTGCGTCGCAAGCGGCGCAGAGTGGATGAGGCATTTCAAGGGTTCCAGAAAGGTGCTACCACGCATTCTCACAGCATGAATAAAGGGGCAACTGCAGGTGCTGTAAGGAGTCGTCGCCGCACAAGTACGCTTCTCTGCAAACTTCTTGAGACTCTGACGGTCTGCCGTATGGAGGAAATCTGCAGCGAGATTGCCGTACACCTGGACGAAAGCGTCGTTCGCGCCACGAGTGGGATGGGAGCACAAAATGGTACCGGAGTGACGCAGCGAGCACGACGACCTAGCCATGCCATCTTACAAGTGCAGCACTGCTTTGCGGTGAAGCCCAACATCAGCGGCACTCTTGATATAGCCCGTTACCAGTACAGTCAGGCCGTGGAGTCGATGTTTGCTCTAGCAGAAGAGCTAAGACAAAAGTACTGTGTTGGTTCCCTGCGTGTTGTCTATGATGACGTACGGGGCTATCACTTCTCCTACGATGCTCGTCATGAGTGTAATGCGCCTGACGCCATCTTTCTGCAGAAATACTCTGGTGGAAGTCACTACTCACTTTATCACAGTAGTTGCATGATGATGATGGATGAGGAGGTGAAGGAAACACGTGCCCTCGACAGGGGCAATCATGTTTATGGTGGCGGTGGTGGTGGAGGTGGGAGCAGGGTTCACGCTCTGGCTACCGGCAGCACCTCGCCTCTGCGTGACGAATGTGTTTCTCTGGGTCAGAACCGTTTCCGCCCGTATTCTGCGTTTGAGGCCTCCGAGTCAACAGGCGGGGAGCAGCGTGAGTGCCGTAGGGAGCACCAACTCACAAAGCACCAAGTGCGTGGCAGGCGGGTGACATGCACCACCAAAGAGTTGCTGGCCCTTCGCCGTAATGCGGACGATGCGGTGACAGAGATCCTTCGCACGCAGGACAGCCTTGTGCGCCTCCTAATTGAGTATCTTCGACAGCGGCTGGGGAAACTGCAGGCCGTATGTGATGCGGTCGCCATGTTAGACCTGTTGGTGACATTTGCGACGTATTCTCGGCTTAACGGCTGCGTCCGACCGACGTTGTTGAAATCCGACAGGCTGTTGGGGGACGGCGGGGGCACATACTTTTTTGGAGGCCCGCCACCCGGGTGGCCTGTCGACGGCGAACAGCATCCGCTGGGACGAGGGTGTCAATGTGCTGCTTGTCACAGGGCCGAATGCCGCGGGGAAGACGACCCTGCTGCGCCAAGTTGGGCAGCTAATTGCGCTTGCGCAAAGTGGGTGTCTTGTTCCTGCCAGAGATGCCGTACTGCGTCCGTGTGACAGACTTATTGTTCACATGCTCTGTGACAACCTTGACGTCACGACCAGCTCCTCGTTTGGAAAGGAGATGCAGGAACTCTCGTATTTATGTATGCACGCCACGCGAGAGAGTGTGGTGCTGGTGGATGAGCTTGGAAGGCGCACCTCCGTGCGTGAGGGAGCTGCGATTGCCTGGGCGACGGTGGAATTCCTCGCCGAGACACGGTGCCGCAGCGTCTTTGTGACACACTTTGGCGTCTTGACACGCCTAGAAAGCCTTTCCGCTGGTGGGGTGAGGAACTACCATCTTGCGGTAGGCACTGAGACTGACAAGGAGCAATGTGCGGCCAAAGATGAAACAAAAAAATTGGGCCGCTCAATGTGCACTCTCCGCTTCGAGTACCGACTGCTTTCTGGTCCTTCGCAGGTGGATCACTATGGGCTGCGTCTCGCGGTGCGTGTTGGATTCTTTCAGCCAGCACTCGACCTCGCCAAGGAGTTGTTGCCTCTGATGGGCGGGACGAGGGAGGGACAGTCCATTGACAACGTTGCCCATGGCGCGTCTGCCCCGGGAGTGGATGGTCCCGTCGGAAGCGGGCATGCGACGGTGGAGCCTGTTGGGCGCAACAGTGGTGAGCCGAGGGAGAGTGAGGAGCGCCGTGACGGTGGTGACGATCCTGTCTACTCCACTGAGGTGAACGCGAGGCTTTCAGGTGCTACTGGTGTCTCCAGCATTGCTGTGGTGAGTAGCGAGTCCGACCTCTCAGAGACGTTACGGGAACTTTCCTTGACTTTATAATTATTATTTTTTTTTCTTTAATTTGGAGGGCGTGTGTGGGAAGGGGGAACGGGAGTTTTGCGCGGGTGTCGTGTGCGTAGGGCGAGTAGTGCGGGAGGCGTTGCCCTCCTCGCGCGACTTGTTTTTGTTTGCAGGGACAGCTTGAGGCGGCCCTCTCGCGCTTCTGCGTGGGTGAGGCGTTGCTGTGTTGTGGGGGCTTGCGTGTACGGAGGGGGGGAGGGGACCTGGTTCCCGTCCCGTAGAGCGCCGCATTCACATTTTTATTTTTATGCCTTTCTTTACGTCTATCGCCCTAGTTTTTACTATTATTATTATTATTTGTTTGTTAGTTTTTTGGGAGCCTCATGCGGCGCCAGCGGTGGGTGCTGCTGCCACCGCGGGTTTTGCGCCACGCGGCCACGCCGCAGCCCCACTGCCGCGGCTACACCACAACGGCAGGCGTAAATATCGCTACGATCCTGCGCGGGACGTCCTCCTCCTCCTCCTCCTCCGTTTCTTCCTCGGCAGCGGCCGTCGCGTGCGAAACGATGCGGATGCGTGGACGCGTGGAGGCCGCGCGCGTGCGCGGGAAGCTTGCCTTCATCCACCTTCGCCAGCCACCTTTCCACTCCATCCAGGTGGTGGCATCCGGCACCGCCATCGTGCGGCAGGTGAAGGACCTCACACCCGAGTCCATCATAGACGTGACCGGCACACTTGTTCCTGTGGAGCGGCCGGTGACTTCCGTCAGCTGTTCGAATTACGAACTCCACGCCGAGCGTGTGGAGGTGGTTAGCAAGGCTGCCACCCCGCTTCCGTTTCCCATCCGCGATTGCTACACTAAGCTGGACACTCGCCTGAACCACCGCGTGGTGGACCTCCGTACTCCCCTGATGACGTCGGTGCTCCGCGTTGTCTCCGCCGTGTGCCAAAGCTTCCGTGACCAGCTGCTTGCCCGTGAGTTTGTGGAGGTGCACACGCCAAAAATGCTCGGCGCAGCCTCCGAGAGTGGAAGTGCAGTGTTCACGCTTGACTACTTTGGTCAGCCTGGCTACTTGGCGCAATCGCCGCAGCTTTACAAGCAGATGGTGCTGATGGGTGATGCAATGCGTGTGTTTGAGGTTGGCCCTGTCTTTAGGGCGGAGAAGAGTCTCACGCACCGCCACCTCACAGAGTTTGTTGGCCTGGACGCTGAACTTGTCATTGAGCGGTCGTACACGGAGGTGCTGGATGTCCTGGAATCGACTGTGTGCGGCATGGTTGATCACCTTCAAGGCGATTGCGCAGCGCTAATGCGACGGGCGCGGGAGGCGCTGGCTGAGGCCGATGCTGCCACCTTGGCTTGGAACGAAGGTAAAGAGGAGGAGGCACCCATTGTGTGCGAGCTGTCGGGGGAGACCCTCGCGGCATTTGGGGTTTCGATGCATGACACAGCAGAGGAAGCCTTGCTGTCAACCGACTACTATCATGGCCGCGTGGGCGGCGACAGCGCTCAGGGGCAGGGCGCACGCCGGCCAAAGGTGTTGCGCCTCGCCTTTGACGATGCAGTGCGGCTGCTGCTCGATCACGGTGTGACAGATCAGCCTTTGACAGACTTCACGCTGCTGCAGGAACGACGTCTTGGGGAGCTGGTGCGGCAGCGGTATGGGGTGGATGTGTACGTTGTCGACCAGTTCCCGGCCGCAGCGCGACCCTTTTACACCCTGCCGCATCCGCACAAGGCAGAACTGACGTGCGGCTTCGACATGTACCTCCGTGGTGAGGAGATCTGCAGTGGGGCGCAGCGCATTCACGACGTGACGCTCTTGCTGCAGAACATGGAGCGATTTGGGGTAGACGCGGCGGGCGTGAAGGACTACGTGGACGCCTTTCGCTACGGCGCCTGGCCCCACGGCGGCTTTGGGCTTGGGCTGGAGCGCATTGCGCTTTTTCTGGTTTGCGCGAAGGACATCCGTCAGATCTCGCTCTTTCCACGCGATCCAAAGCGTCTAACGCCGTAGGTGCCCTGCATGCGTCTGTATTCCCCTTTTTTTTTATGTTGTCACTTTTTGGTTCCTTCGTGAACGGCGAAAGAAAAAAAAAAATAGCACGGCTGCTGGCGGGGGCGGGGCGTGTGTTGTTTTGCGTTTTTTGTTTTGTTTTTTTTTTCTTGCCGGCGCGAGCACCACTGCGCTGCCGCCTTTTTGTCTCTTTTCCCCCCTGTCGCCGGTAGGAAGATAAGGGCAGGACGAGTGAGAAAGGGAAATGCCAAAGGGCCACGAAGCCCGCCTGGCGGCTGTGGCTGCACGCTTTCAGGAAATTGAGCGGGACATTGCGAGACTGCGCCTCATGTCGCGTGGCGCGCCGGAAGCGGTGCCTGCGGGGGCGCTGGCCCAGTGTCGTGATACTTCGGGCCTGCTGGAATTGCAGCCGTGCGCGCGGGACACGGCGGAGGTGGCGGCGCTGCGGCGGTGGTGTTTGGCACATGGACTTCACAGCGCCCGCTTCCGGTGGGTGCCGGCGGATTATTACCAACAGCCGCTGCAGTGGCGACGTGATGTTTTGGCGGCCCCCTCCATTTACCACCTGTGCAAGTCTATCGTGCTGGAGAACACGCACTGCCCCCACACAGACTGTGGCCACCGCGAGAACTCTCGCTACTACATCGCTGT